GGAAGGAAGGAAGGAAGGAAGGAAGGAAGGAAGGAAGGAAGGAAGGAAGGAAGGAAGGAAGGAAGATTTATAGCTATAGGTATGAACTTAAAGTCAGTCTCCTGTACTTTAACAAGTGATTTGGTCTATATTTACTGTTTACCCCAAGGAATATTTTTAAATGCTTGACAGTCAATCTAAAAAGACAATATTTTTATATTATAGCCTTCTCCTATTATTGCCATGCTATTGCTATGTGTATTTCAAAGGTCAATAGGTTCAAAGATGTTCATTTGAATTATATATTTCAAACTGGGAACTCATCTCTATAAGGAGGGACTACAAGAAATCCTCTTTTTTAGAGTCCAGATGTACAGTATTGGATTGTTGATGCTATATGTGTCCATTTCTCTCTCTATTGATGTAAGGGGAAAACTGTAAAATTATTCCATGGCTAGGGTAGGGTTTAATTATGTCTTAAAATTAGGCTAAATGAATCCCTGTATGTAACAAAATATTTTTATTCTTTCTTGGGCCCTCCTTTTCTTTGTGTCTTTCCCTTCCCTTCCCTTCCCTTCCCTTCCCTGTTCCCTTCCCTTTGTACTAAAACAATAAGAAAACTGTATTATTAAATTCTTCATTACTAATCAGTTCTTTTAAATAATCAACCTCAACTGCAGGTTGAATTTCCTGTTATTGTTTATATGATGTGTTTCCCAAGAAAATTGTACAACTGATGTACCATACATATCTTGGCCAAATATAGGAATCCAGTTTTGTATTTCTTCTTTCCAGAACATTGTAGATCACTAAAAAGTTGCTAACAATTATGCAATAATAATTGCAAACACCATGGAATGCCTCATGACTTCAATTTATGCATCCAGACTCCTCTACCAATTTCATTAAATAAAATGACTAGATTTTAATTTATTAATTGGATTTATTAATTCAAATAATTTAAATATTAACACTGATATGAATAAAATGTGGCTGTTTATGCACTCAATCATAGTCCTTTAGTAGCACATGGGATCAGGAGCCTGATTATAAAATAGTTGGATTTCTTGTATAAGGCTGGGGTGGGCAATATAAAATGAAATAAAGAACAATATAAATACCATTCTCATTGTAAGTTTCATCCAATAATCTGTTAAAAAAATACAATTCAACCCACTAAGATAGTAACAAAATAAACTTTAGGCAAGGAGGACATTTACAATTTTACAGGCAGTGCTGTTATTACATTCATCAGTTGCGGTAAATTGTAAGGGCATAAAATTTGCACTAATACACTTGATAATTATTTTTACTGCAAAATAATGAGAGAGACTGGGGCTAAAGCAGCATTTGCTGTTATGAACAGTATTCTCTTAAAGCAAATTCAATTAATGAAATACACCAGTTTATATGTATTTCAATTTAGAAATGCATCCAAATAATGAGAGATGGTGGATTAACTAGGCAAAATGTTATGTTTTATGTTATATTTGGCTATATTATTTTGATTCCTAAACCCAAATCTTTCAGAGTCTGTTCCAGTCCAGAATTCCTGGAAATATATTGCTCAGATGTTCAATTACCTTTGCTTCAGCACATTTAATAAATGCTGCTTTGCTGTCGCCCTTTCTCTCTCAGTCTCTCTCTCTCTCTCCCCCTCATAGGCTCTTTCTCAATCTGAGGAAGAGAAGGAGTAATGTCTTACTAGATTTCTGCATGCCACTGGCTGAGAAACTTTGTTCAAAGCCTTCTGTTGGTTTACAAACTGGTTTACAAACTCAAAAAGCATGTAGACGGAAATCAGTGTGGAGACGCATTCAATTCTTTTTGCATGTGGCATCTTCTAAGGCCACGGATGGTACCCAACCATTCCAGCTCTGTGGACAGCAGCTATGATGGGGTGGGCAGAGATGGTTCCATGCAAATGATGAGCAAGCATACACTTTGTGTTTGTACACACAAAAGCTCCATTTGCACAAATTGAGTTTCGTGCACTCATCTGCTCATCCACCACTTGCGTGGCCTGGTTTCCAATGAGCCCTGGTGTGTTACTGCATCACGGCCCAGGGGTTGGTGACCTCTGTTCTAAAGACATATATTCCCAGAAATGTACATATTTCCTGACACTAAGCTAAAGTAGATGCAATAAAATAAATACCCAAGGATACCATCAGTGTAGTAAATTCTACTGCTCCCTGAGTGATTACTTCATAGCTGATGTTAGCTGGATTTAAGCTTGACAGGTAAATCTAATGTAGATTTCTCAGAAATAAATGCTAGAGGTTTAGCAGATATTTACTCCAAGCTAAATGTGCAGGAGATTTCAGTCTATGTTTTTACCAACATAAGCCAAAGCTAGGCTTGTTAGGAATTCCAGTGACACATATTGCCTTAACTAACTTTTGTCAAGGAATTTGATGTATAAGACTTGTTTGTATGAACAATCGTAGATTGGAATTCAGATGTGGCAACTTAGTAATGTACTCATGGGAATATGTTTCACTGGTCTTATGTAAATAGAAGTAAAATAATACAGATTGTGAAAATTGTGGTGCATGGTAAATCCAGTTTATGTGGTAGTTGTAAACAACAATTTACTGTACGCTGATTGCCCTTCATTTTTGGAATTAAATCTGGCAATAATACCTTTCTAAAATGCTTTGAAATATAATTGAGTCCTCCTTCTTTCTTGTGACCCCCACAGTTCAAGGGGCAAGTTGGAAAAAACTAATCAGAACCATACATAGATAATTCTTGGATGGAACATGAAAGGAAAACTCAGCATAGAGTGGATATTTCCCATTAGACTCCCAACTGTTACTATCTACTTCAGTTGTGGGTTATAAAAGGGAACTTAGTGGTATGTGTGTGTGTGTGTGTGTGTGTGTGTGTGCATTAAATCCTGGAAGAAGTCAATAGCAAATTATTTGCACATTATTGTCAAGAAAATCATGAATGTGGACCTGTAAATATGAGAAATTGAGCTTGACTAGTGGAAGTCTTTACTTTTAATTATAGTAGCCTAAGAAGTATTTGCAGGCATGTCTACAACATCTTTCCTGGAACATTTCCTTCCCACATTATTTCAACGAGAGAGAAAAGACAAGCACTATAACTGCTGTTTATATTGCTATGATTCCTGCTGTGCCGTCCGGTATGATTCCTCCAGGCAAAATTTATCTCTTAAGGCTTGCTGTGAAACTGTTCAGAGTAGACCTTGCAAATTTTGTAAGCAGTCCTCTTGAAGTGTGGCTTTTATGTTTGGACGGGGATCACCTACTGTTGTATTAAGCATTTAATTTTCAATGAAAGAATAACAGGAATTAGGACCTTTAGTCATAGATGAAATGAAGTTGCCACCAACTCAAGCTCGATTCCCTTTTTCTGGAAGTGCAGAAGCTAAACTTTATCTTTCTTGGTCTTTATCTTTATATTTTCTGCTCTCTGCTCTGCAGGCAGCTGAGTTCACTAGTTCATGGGAAAGGCTTTGACCTGAAACCCTGATGATTTGTCATTGGAATGGTTGATAAAGATATGAATGAGCTACAGTGGTAAGACCATACTAAAGGGCATTTTTTTATTTTCTACATTCTCTTGAGATTGGGATGATGTTTAGAACAGGGGTGTCAAACTCAAGACCCGCAGGCTGGATCCAGCCCATGGGGTGCTTAGATCTGGCCCATGGGGCTGCCTTAGAAACAGTAAAGGACTGGCTCGTAGCAAACGGCAGCAAAAATGGAGCTTGGGAGGGCCGTGTGTGGGCAGGGCGCTTGGGCTACCACAGGTGTCCCCAACATGAGTGATGTTGAGCTGGCCACATCCACCCTGGCTATGCCCGTCTGGCCCCCCGAGGTCAAACACAACCCTGATGTGGCCCTCAATGAAATCAAGTTTGACACTCCTGCTTTAGAAGGATTTATGTGAACCCAAGACCATCTATCAATCACCTCTTTGAACATTCCCCATTTTCATAGCAAAACTACATAAGCAATCACCTCAGAGTGGGAAAGTGTACGGCTGCAAAGGTCAACTAAAAAGATACTCCTTTGGTCTTTTTAGCTACCAGAAAAAGGGAGTGGGGGAAAACAAGGCATTCCTTAAATGCCTAGATAATCACCCCGGTAATCCAAAGTTGTCATAAGAAGGTTATTGGAGAGCATGATGGATGACTCTTGGAGATGGATGTGTCCCATTGGAGAAGTCACATCCAGGGGGTGGGGAGAAGACCAGGGTCAAAGGGGAAATGTATGATGTAATTTAGTATCGGCTTCACCCAGCCACGTGCCAACATGGCAGCCTCTAATAAATCAATTTTCTTTTCTCTGAGATGTGGCTAGAGACTTTTGATTTAAATGAGGGTGGATTTGTTGGAGCCCTGACAGCAATTTGCAGGTGGAGGTAGTCCTTGACTTACAATAGTTTATTTAATGTCCATTCAAAGTTACAACAGCACTGGAAAAAAGAGACTTATGACTGTTTTCACACTTATGACCATTGCAGCATCCCTGTGGTCACATGACCAACATTCAGCTGCTTGGCAAGTAGTTCATATCTATGATGATTGCAGTGTCCTGGAGTCACGAGATTAGCTTTTGCGACTGTCTGACAAGTAAAGTTAATGGGAAAGCCAGATCTGCTTAACAACAACCATGTTATTAACAACCACAGTGATTCACTTAACAATTGTGGCAAGAAAAGTCATAAAATGGGGCAAACTCATTTAGAAATGTTTTACTTAGCAGCATAAATTTTGGGCTCAGTTGTGGTCATAACTCGAGGACTACCTGTATATATATCCCAAAGGTGCTTTTTCAAGAGATAACTGGACTTTTTTGTTTTTCTCTTTTGACGATGTTTCACTACTCATCCAAGAAGCTTCATCAGCTCTGAGAGAAACTTCTTGGATGAGAAACGAAACTTTCTCAAAAGAAAAAATAAGAAAGTCCAGTTGCTTCCTGAAAAAGCACCTTTGGTACAACCATGACCTGGATGACTGACTATAGACTACCTGTATAACTTCTCTTCCTCTTACCAACTTGCTTAAAACATCCAGATTTTACCAATTTCTTCAGATGTTATAGTGAACAATAATTTTATATTTACCCTTGGTGTGGACTGTGGAACATGTAAATAGGCTGGGTAGGAAATGATCCCATAGCAATCAGCCTTCAAATTGACCCTTTGAGCCTTGTGGAAAGCCTTGAAGACTTGGCTTTTCCCAAAAGTGTTAGGATAGAGTGAGGCTGATGCACAATAAAGTTGTTTTTGATGTCGGACTGCATTTTCTGGAGATGCTGGACCGTTTTATGATAGTTTAATTTTTGTTTTGTTTTGTGCATAAAATGGGTGGTTACATATGTTAAATGGAATGGAATGGAATACTTCCACATTTGAGGATCAGCTAAGAACAGTAAAGGAATGAGCAATCAAGAAATATGCTATGGTTGTGTATACCACAATAAAATGCTGTGATATGTCTGTGCCCAGGGGTGGAATTCAAATTTTTTAACAAACGGTTCTGTGGGCATGGCTTAGTTGGTGGGCATGGCTTGGTGGTCATGTGACTGGGTGGACGTGGCTTGGTAGTCATGTTATTGGGTGGGTGTGGCCAACTCAACATCACTCACATCGAGGCACGCATCTCCTCGCCTGGCGTCTCATGACTGTGGGGATGCTGCTACAGTCGTAAGTGTGAAAAATGTTCATAAGTCACTTTTTTTCAGTGGCATTGTAACTTTGAATGGTCACTCCACACAAGCAAAGTACCAGCAAAGGAGGAGGAAAAAACTCCAGAGAAGTTCCTGAGACAGGAAATCTAGTCCTGCCAAGAATGTAATAAGGGTTAACGGAGAGGCAGTTTCTGTAAGCAACACCAGAATGTTTCCTTCCTGCCTTCCTTACAGGATTAGGCCAGTAATTTCTTCTAACAACTGGTTCTCCAAACTGCTTAGAATGTTAACAACCTGTTCTAGAGAATAGGTGCAAACTGGTAGAATCCCACTGATGTTTGTGCCTACAAAAATCAAAGTGATGCAAGGCAATGGTTTTCCCTAGACACACTATAAAAGTGGAAGTTGTACTTTAAAGAAATAGGGTAGAAAGAATATTTTATGTTTTTGAAATTTTGGTGTTGGTGAGACTCTTGAGGATACCTAAGAAAACCAAATAATAGATCATAGTACTGTATAAATGAATCCAGAGTCCACATTCAAAATACAAATGATCAGGTTCAGCCTATTTTGGACACATTTCACAAAGACTCTCTTGAGAAATGTACAATAAGGGGAAAGGTATACAGGAAGAAAAAGACAATCAGCAACAAAGTGCCTTGGAGTTGATGATGATGGCAATTGGTACCTTGAAAGGCCTGTTTGAGGACAGATCATGCTGGAGAAGGAACATACATACATACATACATACATACATACATACATACATACATAGTTTTCCAGTGCCACACAGCGAACTCCCCCTGCACATCTTCCCAGCACAATGACTGGTGACCTGCTTCAGAAAACCATGCATTAAAATTTTATCTCTTTTGAGACCCTATGAGGAAATGCCATCAGAAAATTAGATTTTTTTTTCTTTGAGATCAGGCGCCCAGTCAGCAATCCAATCCCATGTGTTTCTCCTGAAACATTAGGATTTGATATAATTTCAGGCAGAAACATTTTAAAATGAAACAATTGAATTTTCTAGATGGTCTTGGGGACCACTTAGCTTAAGAGAATACACTTCGAAATCAAAAGCCTTTCAATCATTTGAAATATTATTTGGATGGTATTTGCTTTATTGCACAGTAGCAGTTTAAATTTGGACTGAATGTTTGACTGCCTCCTGCTCACAGAGATGATGTATGAAATTATTATTTCATATTTTTTTCCTGCAGTTTGCATTGCAGGTGACATGTCGCTGACAGGAACCTGGAGATAGAGTATGCTCAATGAATACTGTTGATGCCCAAGCATCCCATTTTATTAAAAGACTCCAGATTAATCTTGATTTGTTTAGCATATACAACATGGATCAGCAAAATAGGAATGCCTTTAGCATATGAAAATAGTCAAGTGTACAATAGTGGGGCAATCAACCCAGCATAGCTGTTATTCTGCTGCTGTTTCTTTTCACCATGACTGTTTTGGTTCACACATGCATAATAGTCTCAAGTGATGGTGAGCCTGCAGGAGTGAGATTAAATTCCCGAATTTCTCACTGGAGTATTACATGGTCTTCTGGTTCAATCAAAGCCAGAGATTAATTCTCAGCTCACCTACTCTTTTATCCACTCAACTTCCTTCCTGCCAAGAAGTCTTCAACTCACCATTCCCCCCCCCCCCGCCGCCCCTTTAAATCCAATGAATTTGGCACATTAGCAGCATGGTTGGAACAGCTACGCTGGATTGATTGCCCCATTTTTGTTGTAAGAGAATAAAAGTGATAGATTTCACACACACACACACACACACACACTTTCTTGTTGGAGTTGTTACACACTTCGTAATGTAGCAGGTCTTGTCCAAACTCAACTAATATTCCTTTGTACCCTGTGAGATAGTTATCATTATGTACAGTTTTTAAGGTGGATATCGTCAAAGCATGAATGGGGAAATCAGTCTGTTCCCTGTTTGGGTCATGTTTATACACTTGCTCACTTTCCTATTTAATTGGTGATCTACATATGAAAAAATAAATGAAGTATGAGTTCACCTTGAAAGACAGCAAGTGTATGTCCATGTGTTGTTTGTATTTTTAAATAATAGATTTTAAACTATCATAATTCAGGGATAGGCAACAGGCAACCCTGTATAAGTCCATGACCTCAAATAACCAAGGAAGCACCTGGAACAGGGATGTCAAACTCACGTCGTCATGGCAGCATCACGTGATGTATTCAGTAGTGGGTTTCAAAAAAATTCCCTACTGGCTTGAAGAGCTCGCTTTGCTTTGCACATGCATGCACAGTGCTCGAACACCACCCACTGTATCAACGCTGAAAGGAATATATCAACGCCTATCGCACACA